GCATGGAGTTTCCTCAAAAAATTAAAAATGGAGCTGCCTTTTGACCCAGTGATCCCACTTCTGGGAATATATCCTAAGAATCCTGAAACACTCATCAGAAAGAATATATGCACCCCTATGTTCATAGCAGCCCAGTTTACAATAGCTAAGATCTGGAAACAGCCCAAGTGCCCATCAGGAGATGAGTGGATGGAAAAGCTGTGGGACGTTTACACCATGGATACTACGCAGCTGTAAAGAAGAAGGATCCCTTACCCTTTGAGACAGCATGGAGGGACCTGGAGAGTATTATGCTAAGCGAAATAAGCCAGTCAAGAGAAAGACAAATATCACATGATCTCACTTATATGTGGAATCTAATGAACAAAATAAACTGATGAACAAAATAGATCCAGAGACACAGAAGCATGGAAGAGACTGAGGGATCTCAGAGGGAAGGGGCTGGGTGACTGGATAAAGGAAGGTGAGGCGATTAACTAAAGAACATATATGCGTAGCCCATGGACACACACAATAGTGTGGTGAGGGCCAAGGGAGGGAGGTGGCTGGAGTTGAGTGCAGGTGGCAAAGTGGGGGGAAATTGGGGACATCTACAATAGTGTCCACAATACAAAACTATTAGTTGTAGACTTTCTGCTCACTTCCCCTGAAACAGTCCAGCCTGTGGAACATGAACTAAAGTCCAATATTTGTTTGCCATGCTCCTTACTTTTTTTCCTTTGAGTAAGATGACATAGAGTGAAATGCACAAATCCCAAGAGTGTTTCCTTTGAGCTTTTACAAATGCATTCACTTTGTAATTCAAATATCTATCAAGATCACAGACCGTTTCCATCACCCCAGAAAGTTCTTTCCCAGCCCTTCCTGGGAAATCCCTGCCTCTGCTCCCAGACAAGCATTGTGCCACTTTTTTTCCTATCTAGAATAGTTTTGCCTGTTCTAGAACCTCATATAAATGGGCTCCCGGAGTCTACACTGCTTGGTGAATGGCTGCTTCCACTCAACCTAAGTATTTTCAGAATCCTCCACATCCAATCTTCTTGTTTTCTGTTGCGTGCCAGTGCCCGATGTATAAAAGGTAATAAGCGTTGGAGAAATGTTTGTGGATGAGAAAGTGATTGCACTGACGGAATGCAAATGATTTCATTGCGTGAATGAATGAATGAATGAAATTGTTTCTTGTTCCCAGAATGCTTGTTCTCACTCCTCTCCAGCTTCTCTTGACAGCCTCCTTCTTGGTCTTGGTCCAGGGGGCTTTGTTCCAAATAGCAGAGGCCCCCCCACCTCTTGCTCCCAAGTCCCCCAGTCTTCCCAGGAAAACACATGTTGTCAGGCATGTTTCCACCAGCTTCCTACCTTCCCCATTATCTGCTCCACCTTCCAGCTTCATTTCCTTCCCTCCTGCTCTTCTCTAGATAAACCCCCCACCTGGCTCTGGAACTGCTGAGTCCCTCCTGGGTCAAGAATGCCCTTCCCAGGCAACCAGAGGCCCAGACACTGCCGACGTGGCGCAGAGGGCCAACCAACTTTGGAAAACGGTTCAGCAGTTTCTTATAAAAGTTAAACACTCATCTACTGCCTGACCCACTGCCGGGTATTTTTCCAGGAGAAGTGAAAACGTAAAGCCATGAAAAGACCTGTACCAGAATGTTCATAGCAGTTTAATTCGTAGTAACTTACGTTGGAAGCAATGTGACCGGCAGCCCGCAGGCGAGTGGATGCGCCGTGTCCAGCCGCGCCGTGGAACATGGGCCAGCATGGACAGGCACACACTGTGGGCACACGCCCTGTGCAGGTAAACCTCAAAGGTGTGATGTCTAGAGAGGGAATCTAGGCACAGGGGACAGCGTATGGTGTGATTCAATGGATATGACATTTGGGGAAAGACAGGCCTAGCCAACAGTGATGAAAGCAGATCCTGGTGGCCTGGGGCAGGGGTGGGGAAGGGACCTGAAGGATGATAGAAACGTTTTATATCTGGGATGTGATGGTGGCTACACAGCTGTATACTTTTCTCAAAACTCTGACTTGGAGCTTGAAATGGGTGCATTAAAATTTAAAACATTTAAATTGTGGCATAAAATACACGTAACATAAAATTTACATCATAACCGGTTTTAAGTAGATAGTTCAGGCCCCTGGCCAGCGTGGCTCAGTGGTTAGAGCGTCCTCACGCGCACCAAAGGGTTGTGGGTTCGATTCCCAGTCAGGGAACATACCCAGGTTGTGGGTTCGATCTCAGGTCATGTTAAATATATTCACATTGTTGAGCAACCAATCTCTAGAAGTTTTTTTGTCTTGCAAAACTGAAACTCTGTACTCATTAAATAACTTCCCATATCTCCCTCCCCGCAGGTCCTGTCACCCACTATTCTACTTTTTGTTTCTATGAGTTTGGCTACTCTACGTACAAGTAAGTGAAATAATGCAGTGCTTGTCCTTTTATGACTGGTTTATTTCACATAGCAACAGAGACTTGGCAGATGTAATTAAGGATTTAGAGATGGAGGTTGTTAAGTGTTAACGAATTTGATGGGTCTTTGTCCCTGTTTTTTAGCAAGGAGCATCTAAACCCTTGGGATTTCCCTACGATAGGAGTGTCTTTGATCTTCAGGGTGGGACCCCTTGGCTCATACCTGAGTTTATACCAAGGAGATGGCTCAGGTCATGCCAGAAAGACCAAGCATGAGGGGTGGGTCTTTCAGCCACCCAACCTCCAGGGAGGGGAGTGGGGCTGGAGATGGGGTGCAGTCACATGAGCAATGATTCAATTAATCACACCTGCATAATGAAACCCCAATCAAAACTCTGGACACCAATGCACAGAGGAGCTTCCTGACTGGTGAACACGTTGAAGTGCCAGGACAGTCACCTGTCCTGAGTCCATGGGAAGAGAACATGGGAGCTCTTTGTTTGAGACCCTCCCAGCCCTCACTCTATGGTTCTCTTCATTTGGCTATCTGAATTTGTGTCCTTTATAATAAAACTGTAGGTATAGAGCTTTCCTGAGTTCTGAGTCATTCCAGCAAATTGTGGAACCAGAGGGGATCGTGACATCCTCTGAATTCATATCGGTGGGTCAGAATCAGTTGGTCAGAGGTGTGGGTGGCCCGGGGACCCCCAAACTTGCAGTTAGGGCAGCCTTATTAGGAACTGTGCTCTTAATCTGTGAGTGTTATCTGCGCTAACTTGGGGTGGTTAGTGTCACAACTGCATTGTAGGATTACAGGAGAGCATCCTGGATTATCCGGCTGGGCCTAAAAGTGCAATCACAAGTGTCCTTATGAGAGGGAGACAGAGGACTATTGACCCAGAGAGGCAAATGTGACCACTGAAGCAAGATGCTATTCTACTGGCTTTGAGATGGGAGGAGCCAAGAGCCAGAAAATGTGAGGGATGCAGTTATAGAAGCTGGAAGACAAGGAAACAGATTCTCCCATGGAGCTTCAGGAGGGACCCTGGCCCTGGTGATGCCTTGATTTTGGCTCAGGGAAACGAATTTTGGGCTTCTGGCCTCCAGAACTGTACAGAATGTGCTGTCTTAATCCATCAAGTGGTGGTCATTTGTTACAGCAACCCTAGGAAACATACACTCCCCCACGCTGACCATCTGAACATCTATCAGTCTGGCCGACAGTCCACGAGGCATGCCACCTGTCCAGGACTCAGGGAGCTCCTGGGCCTGGCCAGTGCCCTGCTCTGAGCTGCACTTGTAGAGGGCCCAGAGAAGGGTTGGAGTGTTGGCTGGTCACATCACTGAAAGGCTTCCCCTGGCCAGGGTGTCTGGGTGTTACTCTCTCTTCTTCCTGCTCAGTCAATGCTCTCAGGGCTGAGCATCCTAGGGGATCCCAGCAGCTTTGGTTTTGAACTCAGTTCTACACAGAAGTACAAGCTGCTAGCCTGTCCTGCCTCTTAGACCTGTCTCCATTGGAAATTCCAGGAAAGCCTCCAGGTCCCCCAGCCGGGGACAGGAAATTTTGAGGGTACAGAGTGAATTCAGATCAAAAGTTCCTAGTTGATAAAGCCAGGCTCTGTGCACCCTGCACCCCCAAATGTGTTCCACCATACTTAATACCTTCCAGTGCTCTCTGCCTGCAAAACTTTCCCCTTTCAGTTCCATGTGCTCAAATCTCATTATACCTCGAAAGTCTGTCTTCTCTGGGATGTATTTCCTGATCACTCCACCCAGTGCTCACAGAACCTAAGTGCCCTAAACATAAGGGACCTGCTCATCAGATCCCAGCAGCTCCTCTCACACCTGCCTCAGGGCTTTGTCTCAGGCTGCTTGAAACCTCCACATGCAGTCTCTTCAAGGAAAGGGGCCATCACTTTAGTATCTCAGCAGAGTCCCTCTCCCTGACTACACAGGTGGCTCCTTCAAATGCATCACGTGTCACTCATTCATGCATTCCTCCATTGAGTCACTGGTCACATTGTTCCTGTGCCCAGCTAGACTGGAATGAGATGATCTGGATGAGGGGTGGGGGTTAAGGACTGGGTCTGACTCACTCCCATGTCCCCAGTGCCCCACAGCCGTTCTGGCCCAGTGCAGGCTACTCATAGAGCCATGAAGTCGCTTCGAGAGGTTGGGGTCACTCACAGGGGTCACTGTCAGGGTCTCGAGGATAAAGCTTAGAAGAGCTCCCCAGAACAAGGAGCTAAGATTCACATTTCAAACATTTATTGATGCTTCTTAGGGCTTTGAGGACAGTTCACAAAACCCCTATCTTTGAGGCCTCCCAGTCTAGGGAAAAATGCAAGAAAACCAGACATCTCCGAGTCACCTGATCTTCGGTAGGGAGGGAGGTGGGGCCAGATCAAAGGACCCAGGAGTCAGGATTTTGGAAGAGGTGGAGGCTAAAGATAGGTCCACGTGGGAGGGCTTGTGATGAGGTTGCAGAGGAGGTTCAGATGGTTCTTAGTAGCGGCGGATGGGGGGGTCTGATGATGGTGGGCCAGCCAGGAGGGTGAAGAGCTTCAGGGAGCACAGCGGTGGGTGTGGCTCAGGGGCACCGGGTGGGCTCAACAGCTGCGTCTCTTCTCACAGATCCAGTTGTCCCTCTCATTGCTGCAAGGGGCGTCGTTCCATAGCCCCGAGTCTAGCATCATGATGCAGTCCTCGAGCCCCCGAGAGTCATTGGGCTCTCCCTTGTTCCAGTAGCTGCAGGGGTACAGCGGAGGTGTTGCTGGGGGTCTAGGCTGAGGATGGCCCTGGGGTCCAGCCTTCAGGGGCTAGCCTGTTTATTGCTTGCTTGGATCTACTCTAGACACCCTGAGGGTCTAACTTACGCATCCACCTGGGATATAACGTTCTAACCCCCAGAATTTATCTCTCAGCCAGTTCCTGGTGGCTGGACTGCCCATCCCTAAGGAGTTCCTGAAATCTGTCCAAAGGACTGTCCCTAGGGTTTGACCTGTTCCCTTCCCCAAGTCCCTTCCTTCACCTGAAGCTGAGCCGGACTCCGTCCACCCACTGATAGCTCTGGATCTTTCTCCCGCGGCGCACGGCCCTCAGGCCCAGCCAGTAACCGCGGCCTCCTGTGTTCCGACTCAGGAAGCCCTGGATGGAAGAGAGACTGAGCTCTCCATTCTGTCCCGCCT